ATTAGAATATTGATTGTTAATTTAAGATGGTTAATTTAAACAGACAGTCTGAGCCACAGCTTGCCTCATTGGTGAGACTGGTCTAACCCATTTACCGTAACATCAGAGGAAAGGACACCACACTGCTGCTGCTGCATTACCAAACAAGTTGTCTGCAGGCACTGGCGACATCATACTGCTCAATTCACTCACTGAGACCACAGCCTCACTTCAGGTTTGACAGCATTTCTAGCAGGTAGCGGCAGACAGCTTGAAAGTGAATTGAGGCTGCAGTTTGGGGGAGGTCTCAGAGGGGACTGGCAGCAGGGTGGGTATATCCACAAATACTATCATATGTAGATAAAGAAACAGAAGGGATGAAACTGGTCTCCATAAATGATCTCCAATTCTAAATGGATACTTTATATAACATTTCTTGCTAGTACTGGTTTCAACCATCTTTTGCCTTCTTCATGGCGTAAATTTATTCACCTCAGAGAATTTAGTCTATATTGACAAGATATCATCCCACAGTTGTTGAAGACTTGTCAGCTACTTGTCCACAATTCAAAGCTCTCCTTTCACCAAATCCAAAAGGTTCTCTAATGCATGTGGTGCTGTGGCACATCAGCTTTAACTTTCCACACGTTGGGTTGTCAGAAATGTTCTTCTGCACAACTTGGATGCAATAGGTGGTCAATTATACTGAGTTACAGCAATATGACTGGCCATTTGTTGTCGATTCAGTTTTGTTTATATAGCACCAATTTACAATGACATTCACCTCAAGATTTTGCCTAATATGATTGGGCAGCAAGGTAATATACATAAAAACTGGCAACAACTCATTCTTCACTCATTTAGCCTACTTTTTATTTTATTGCTTATTTATTACTGTATATCTCAAAAATCTAAAAAAGTTGATTCTGTTCATCTGGACGAAGCGTTTTCAGTGGGAGAAACCTTTCGTCGCTCATCCAAGTGACTTCTTCAGTCTCAGCTGACTGCAGGTTTTCCCAGTCTTATAAGGTATGACTGAAACTAGCACCACCGACGAACATTGGGCTGTGAAGTCAGTTCAGTGATCATTAATATGCAAATTGTCACGACCATTGATCACTCGCAATATTGATCATGTTCGTCCTCAAGATGTTCTTAAGATGAATTCAGTCTGACGTAAATATTTCGTGCCTTCTCCATAATAACTCATCAACAGCAGATGGTTAAAGTACAGAAATGTAAACAGAGAGAATCTACTCACAGAGATAAAGTAGAAATGTTTCCTCCATTGTTGCTCTTAGTAATCTGCTGTTTCCTCATCGGCAGTGACAACATATAGTGACCCAGTCCTTCCTCTTCATATGTGTCTGTTTCCATATATAAAAGCATGTGTCATAGTCCCTGTTGGTCAGATTGTTGACACCTATGGTGGTAATCAGGATGTTAAATCAACTGTTTGCTCGCACTTCACCATGCTTAGTTTTCTCTCTCTTTCTCCTTCCTTCTACCAAGTAAGAGCTCGAAATCACGTTCAGATTTCTCTGGCATTAAATTATTGTTTTTCAGAGAGAGAGAAAAACACTAAACTAACTTATGTTTGGGAGCTTGGCGGTCCCTGCTTCTATATCAATCAATAGATCCCCCAAATACAGACACGAGAGAAATTGATTTGGTTCCACCCATAAAAAGCTCATTTCCTTTGAGATAGTACATGTTTATGCTAGTGCGTGTCCTAATCCCACAACAAATGTACAAACCTTAGGAAATCACAGACAAGTATTTCTTGTCATTGAAAAAGGTTGCAAATTGTCGTATGTGCCACCAGCCTCAGGTTGAGACATAAACCATTTTGTATTCTTCTAATATATAGTTATCCCCCCCCCCCCCCCCCCCCCCTTTTTTTTTTCACTCTCCCTGGGTTAAGTGTTTGGCAGAAACAGCAACAGGCAATCATCAGAGCCTGAAAACCATCACACACTTAGGGTAATGGGAACCAATACAAGCCCAGATACCCCAAGTGGCTGCAGCCTAGAGTGAAGCCCAAGCCACAATGGAAACCAGTGTGTCGGACCAGAAGCACTCCAGTCAAGACCGAGTGAGAGCCAGACAGCACAACACGATCCCACCCATGTAGCACAGATGACCAGGAAGGGGAGTCCAAACTAATCTCCCTTTTTTAGTAAAGTAACTAGTGTACATGTAGTGATAAGCTGGGTTAGCTGCTGCTGATCATTTTCAGAGGTGTTGCTGAGTTCCTGCAGTGACCTGTAAGTCTGTGTTTATTGCAGTGCTGCCTGAGGGCTTCAACACCTTCAGCATTCACAGTCTGCAGCCTGGTCCTTTGTGCACTGGGACGTCTCTGGATTCTCTGAAGATGAATGGGTTAACTTAAAACCTCCCTGAGGTACTTTTTACGTCCAGTAGAGGGAGATGTTGGTTCTGCATGAATGTGAGCAGAAGCTACTCTTCCAAAGTGTCCTGCAAACTCAAGTTTTTAAAGATTTGTTGATTTGTGTATTTATACATCTGCATTTACTTCATGTTCTTTTGTTGCCGTCTCAGTCTATTGTTAGTACAGAATACATACATGTTATGTCCTGAGAACTGTCAACAGCAGGACTCCGTAAACTGTTGTCAGATAATGTTAGTCGTGGCAAATGTTAACTGGGTGTCAGGTTCATATTGTTGGATTGTCATTTATGCTTAGAAATATATATTCATATATTCTTAGAAATTAATAATCATTTAGAGATGTATATTCATTTGTAGATTGAAAGAATGTCTCATCCTAGGGGGTCTGTAACAAGTCTGTGTAGTGTGAAGAGGGGAGTGCGTTCACGCCTCTTCAGAGTGTTCTGGCATAGATCACACACCTCCTAGGGTCATGAGAGAGGTCGGAACTTCTTTTGCTGATATACGGTATATCAGTCCCACACACACACACATACCTACACTATGCACAGACTGGTACTCTTTGGTCACATGTATATATATATATATATATATATATATATATATGTATATGTAAGACATCATATGTTAATGAACTCATGCATATTCATGTAACCTCAATAAAGTGTTACGAGGAAGCAGACGAAATAACTGTGGTCAAGCGAAGGATTGGCGCTCATCCAGTTCTTTCCCTTGTGCGCGAGTGACACAAGAACTTTGCCTACTTGTTTCTTGCGTTGCTGTGCAGTAGAAATATCTTGAACGTTCCAGCAAATAGGTTTATGCTAGACAAACCCATCACTGGGTATAAGGATAAGCTATAGTTGTGGCTGGGAATTCATACAACTACAGAGACACATGTTGGGAATATGGAGTGCTGACCTCTATAAAACTAAAAACTATAAATGTGCACAGGAGGTGAAATGCCATGAAGTGGTTTTGAGTGGAGCTGAGTATAAAGGCCTGTACTATTAAACAAGCACTGTAAGTACTGTACAGTAGTTTATTGCAGTCAGGGCTCTGTGTGCGGGCAGGCGGAGATAAGGATCCGAACGCAGGACTCGGAGACTGAATTGCAACTTAATACTTCAACTTTATTGCTGGTGACGAAACAAAACATGAACTGACAAAGAGCACAGTGAACAGAAACACACAAGCAAATCTGAGGGTACAACACAACCCTGACACAAAGAAACACGGGGCTTAAATACACTGAGGAAGTCAGGAATGAGAAACAGGAGGGAGACACAGCTGGGAGACATCAGGGTTAACGAGACAGGGGGAGCAAAGGGGGAGACCTTCACAATAAAACAGGAGACAAGAAACAGAGACGCAGACTTGACACTGAACTAAACTTTTACTAAACACCAGACACAACCTAAGAACTAATCTCTCACCAAGAATACCTGAAACATAGATTAATAATAATGATCAGCAAAACACCAGAGAATCAGAAAATAATCCATAATGCAAAAACAAGCCAAAACATAAGAAACTGAAAATGCTTGGTCAAAATCACCCAGAACCGTGACAATTGTAAAAGCACTTATGTGGATGGAAGTTCCAGGTAATCTCTAGTGAATATGACCCTTTGCTCAGTCTGTGGTTTAGGTTAATGTTATTCTAATTGAAGTGTTTCTAAATTGCATGCAGGGAACAGGAAATGCAATGAGAAAGACAGAGGGGAAGGAAACCTTAACCGAAAATGGCCTGCAATTGCATAGCGCTTTTCTAGTCCCTAAGGACCCCTTCACACTACATTCAGTCATTCACCCACACATTCACACACTGGCTACATTGCAGCCGCAGATGCCCTGGGGCGCACTGAGGCGAGGCTGCCAGACACTGGTGCCACTGGGCCTTCTGACCACCACCAGTAGGTAAACATGGGGTTAGTATCTTGCCCAAGGATATCTGGCATGCAGCCAGGGTGCAGCCTGGGATCGAACCACCGACCTTCTGATTAGTGGCTGACCCGCTCTGCCACCTGAGCTACAGCCACACTGAATGAATACACTGCTGCAGAGCTGGCCCTCCCTAATAGTGAGAGTTAATTCTTAAATGGAAAAATAAATAAATAAAGGCTTCATTTTATTATCAGAAAAAAATGCTGTGTAATGGCTCTCAGAGCACTGGTGTAGTTTTATTGGCATGATTTTCCTCACTGTAAGAAACACACAGGCAGAGCTGCCACACTGAGACCTGATGACCAACGGCATCAGCTTTCACACTGGCACAAGTCATTTCGCTCTCAGTGCCTGGATTTTTGTTTTCTTACATGGATTCAACAGAGCAGGACCAGGATTGTCTCCTAGCAACACACCACTGAACAGTCATGTATTAAAACGACTGTAAAATTATATATGAGCATAATTAAAATGTTTTAAAATGACATAACAAAATACTGTAAGCAGTGTAGTTCTGCCATCAGTGTTTTATTAGTCTATTCATTTATTGACTCAACACAGCCTTTCACCCACGCCCACTGCATTGTTCCCACTTAACTCCTCCCACTCCTCACAGTCAGAATTTTTAGCTTTCTCAGCACTTTAGTTTTCATTCATCATTTCATTTATCGGAGGGTGAGAATGGTTGTGTTTCTTGGCTGGACTCTGCTCTCTGTGCGCCTGCTGGTTTGTGCCTCTCAAGGTGAGCTGTGGTCTCTACCAAAGTATCAAATATTGAGGGGGAATTTGGGATGTGGATTTTTAACCCTTAGTTGGTGTTCGTGTTTACTTCAAATGTGTTTAAAGATGTTTTCCATTAAGACTTTAAGAGTTACAGAGATTTCTATTCACAGTCCCTCATTTTCAGATGGGGGACTGTCTGTACATGTAGTTTTATGGGCAGGTGAGGTCTGGTTCCCTGTTATTTCATCACAAATGAAGTAGACATATGAGCTGAGGTTGATTCATAGTGTTGAGTATGGACTTCATAGGGAGCTCAGCAGAACTAAAAGGGAGAAGAGAGAGAAAGGAGGAGTATTATGCTCAAAGTCTAGAACAAAGATATGCCTTTAATAATGTTAGTGCAGTCTACGGGGCCATACTTGGCTGAGCTTTAGCCAAATGCTCTGAAACAAATGATTTTTAAAAACTATTTTTAAACTATGCAACGTAAGAGTTTCTCACGGTGAAGAAGATGAAGAAATGGGACAGTCATCAGCAGCAAAATTAATCATCTAATTTCTGCCCCACAGGGCAGCTTTTTGGGTGAATACAGACAGACACACAAACAAGCAGCAGCTGAATGTGGTCGTCATGATCTCCAGGTCTTGGAACCAGGGTTTTTAACTTTAGGTTGTTTAGGGTTTGTCTGCGTTTATAGTTTTAAATTAAATTCAGTAAAGCTGTGTCTTGCTCTCAGATGGATTTATGACTGTACATGGTTAATATCTGATATTTAGCTTTCAGTGTGGCGTGTATTCCCATACACTCGAAATGTGAGGGCTAAGTTGCTGGGTCTTTTGGGTAAGCCATCATAGATAATTTAGCTCTCAGAAGACAAATTGTTGACTAATTTGTTAATTAATCTAAGGTGTGGCAAATCACTGAAATAAAGTTCAGTGCATAGTTGATATAAATTGTCATGTTCATGTCAACGCCTTGATAAATAATGCTCAAAAAATATACATTTCTTGTGCTGTGATATTATGTCACAGGAGTGTAAATCTGTAAACCCTCAGAGTCACATGATCAGTAACACATGTGAATGGCAGCCACACACGATTCCCACTTTTCTGTTTTAAATTCATGATGGTACACGTGCATTGTAGCCTCTGACAACGTCACTTCACTTTACTTTGCAATTACTTATTTGCAAAAGTAATTAGTTTCTTAGTTACTTTTTAAAAACATGATTTACAACCTGAATAGGTGATAAAGCGATAGATCTTCTACTCTTCTACTTTCTGCCTAATCCATCATATAAAATGTAATCAAATGGAAAAGTTTCTTTTTAACATTCATTTTATTAGTTTTAGTCTTTTAACTTCATGCATCAAGCAAAAATGTAATTATATGCACCATTCTCTGACTGGAAGAAATTTGTTTAACATTTAAACCTATTTTCTGCACATTCCAGCACATAAAATTTACACTCAGTCTTTCAAATAGATGCAAGTAAAACACAGCAGAAAAAAAATAACATCAAAGACTAGCGGTCCTTTTGCTCTATTTTCACCTGTAAAGCAGGAGTGGGGTAGGCGGAGGTTTACTCTGGTGCAGGTGTGCCGCAGCGCTCAGTGGAAGAATCCGCGAGTTTCTCTGTGAGTTTCCCATTACGTCGTAGCGCACTCGGTGCTTGCTTGGAAGTTTAGGGTTTTTTCGCTGTAAAAAGAAGTTTTATTCCCACGCACAACGGACGCTAATGTTTTTGTCACTTTTATGGAATCAAACTCAAAGTAAGGTCAGTACTTCCACGCTTTAAACGCTGCACGTTCATACTCTCTCCCGTACTCGATATATTATCCATTGTTGATCTGCACACAGCTGTTGTCACGAACATCGCACTCGCTTACGTCACTGTCATGAGACCCTCTCGCAAAAAAATATCACGGTTTTAGTAACACAGTAACGCAGCGTGCTTACGGGAAAGTAACAGTAATCTGTCTATGAATAACTTTTGTGAGACTCTAAGATCTGAAATTTAAATGAGCTTCTCTGCCTTAAGAAACTCTTCACACTCCTCCTCAGTATAGAAGAAATTTTTAAGGGCTATGGAAAAGAAAATTCACCAGTTAAACTAGTAAACTTTTCTGGAATTCACCTTTGAAGTTAAAGGGAAATTCTCAGCAGAAGAGTTCTGGTGTCTGCTGCAGAAGTGAACATTTGTACTTTAACCTCTCTGCTCTGTATAGTTTCTCTTTCAGACCAGAAAAACGTCACAGCTGAGTCTGGACAGAACGTCACGCTGACATGTCGAGCTCCAAACAACATCCAGACTGTGGAGTGGAGAAGAGCTGACCTGGGAGACGAATATGTTTTTTTGTATCGGGATGGGAGGAAAACTTTAGTGCGCCAGCATCAATCTTTTAAGGACCGGGTGGATCTAAAGGACAAACAGATGAAAGATGGAGACGTGTCTTTGATTCTGAACAATGTGACGATTAATGACACTGGAACATACGAGTGTCGTGTCGTTGAGACGGGAACATTTGGTTTGAAGCCCATCAGCATCATCTACCTTCATGTTGTTCCTCCAGGTGAGTGAGTAGAGTTGAGTGTGTGTGTGATCAGAGGTGAAGCTGCTTCCTGCTTGTTGATGTTTGTTTGTAAAGATGTTGTTGATGAGACTTTGTAGAAAGCAGCTGGTCTGAGTGATGTGATCAGAGTGCAGCAGATAATGTCTGACAGCAGTTTGAAGAGGAAATGGATTCTGTTCTGTTCTTCACTCATGACAGCTGACACCTCACACCTGTTTCTCACCTGCAGGATCTGTTGGACTAATCGTTGGTGTATTAGTTGCTGCTGCCCTCGTTGTTGCTGCTGTTGCTGGATTTGTGATCTACAGAAAGTATAAAGGATAAAAGAGTCAGGCTTCACACTAACCTACTGATGATCTGCAGCACATCCAAATATCTCAGACCTCTGAACAGCTAAACTTTGAGTCTTCTGCTGCTGTCTCGACTTCCAAGTGATGTCAGTGAACAGGGGGACAGACACCAGGGACCTCACAAAGAAATTAATTATGAAGTGTCACCATAAAATGTTATTCTGTCTTATCTCTGGGTATGGAGATGATGGAAAGTCTTTGTGAGGAATTCAGAGTAAAGAAAATCTAAAAGAAAACAGAGTATTCTGCTGATTCAACAGTTATTGTCTAATTTTGCTGCATCCAGCTTACACAGTAAAATTAGACTTGCCGTTGTTCATAAGTTCGAATTTTAACAAAAACAGGGTGCTTCTGTTTATTACTAATGTTATGGCTGCAGATTAGTGTCTCACACTTGAACTCAGCACTTTATCAGGAAATTGCTTTAGTTTGTCAGTAGATCAAGTGTGAAGTGAAATTAATTTGACTGATTCAACGGTCATTCTTGGAGGTTGTTCAGCAGCTTAAATGTGACCTAAAAGGAGACCAGAATCAAATGTAAAAACATTTATACATACATGCACATATACATGCGCACTCATGTCAAAATGTGATGCTCAGTTTTCTCTGCTGTAACCTTCGAGCTGGGCTCGATTTATGCTTGCACGTGTGAAATGTATTCCCACATGAATCTATGTTGGCCTTCAGCAAATGTTACCATGTTGAGTAAAATGAAATAAGAGCTGCTTTCCTGATACTTTAAACTGTGACTGTAAGATTGACACAACTTGCTAAACTATTAATCCCACTTTTGAACTTCATAGCAAGACCACAATGGTGCAAAAAAAAAAAAACCCAATATCCAAACATAATATAATAAATAAGGGTGGAAGGGCTTTAGTTATTATCCTTATAATCTTTATTTATGGTGCACTACTCATCTGAAACACTCGTCATCACAGCGTTTCTGGTTTTCAGCTTTGTTTTTTCTTAAGAGGATCTTTGTGTATTTACCTTTTGTTTATATTTTAAAATATTTTGTGTATTTTTTTGAATGTCAAGCAGTCGTTTCATTGTGACACTTTTATCTCTGCTATAAAAATCAAGTATACAATCAGGCTTCATGTCCGTTTTCACACAGAATAAAGTCCTGAAGTATTTCTGTTGTTTGCCCGTCTTTTTCTTTCAGGCGGACTTTAACTCATCACCCTGTGACTCATCCAGCATCTGTGTGGCAGGGTGACAAATCAGCTCTAGCACAGACTGGACTGCCGACTCTGTCCACAGTTAATGACTAAATCCCTGTCATAAACTGCACACAGTGCAAAAAATCTTGTATAATAAATTGTCTCAGTGTAAAGAGGGGGAAATACATCCGTTTTAAATTCAAAATAGCTTTTTCTTAACATTGGGAGGAAGAAACCTCTCCTGGGCCTTTCTGGATGGAGATTGCGTGTTCTTCCTGTCTAGGCTCTCAGTTGTTGTTAGTGTGGTGTGAATATGAGTGTGTGGTTGTCTGTTTCTCTGCATCAGCCCTGTGTCAAGCTGGTGACCTGTCTAGACTGTATCCTGACTCTCGCTCTGCAGCATCTGGGTTAAGGTATATCTGCTGTAATGGTTGCTTTGCTCACCACCGCAACCAGTCTGACAATCCCTGATATTTATACCTGCAGGAGGCGGGTATAAGGCGCAGGTGTCAGGTTAAGGCTGTGTGCAGGTAGGAGTGGAAGTAGAAGGACCCAAAGTGCAGACACTCGGAGGCAGAAAGTGGCTCAAAACTCAGCTTTTATTGCTGGATTGCAAAAAGTGGCAAAACGTAACAGAAATCCAAAATCCAAAATTCCAAATAAACTTACATGACCAGGCAAACGGAACACACAGCATAAATGAGAGTAGATCACAACACAGACACAAAGAAACACGGGGCTTAAATACACAGAGGGAGCAATCAGGGAATGGGTAACAGGAGGGAAACACAGCTGGGGCAAATCAGAACTGACGAGACAAAAGAAGCGTAACCTGAACACACTGAGATAAGACAGAGACCTTCAAAGTAAAACAGGAAACACATAACACAGACTGGACAAAGACACAGACTCACATGCAGGCACTACAAAGGGAACAGAGACGTGGGACCAGGGCAGACAAAGACACTGACTGGACATGGGGATATAGGAACTAAGGATACACAGAGACGCGAACTAGACAAGGGGATACAGGTGATAGGGGAGACAGAGCAACTAGAGAAGACAGAGACATAAACCATAAGACAGAACTCAAAGAAACCAAAGACTAGAAAGTATAAATAATATAATAAACTCAAAAAACCCTGGGTCAACGACCCAGGCATCCTAACAGCAGGAAGGTGTCGCCACACAGACAACATCTCCCTCTGTGTGACTGTATGTGTCTGAGCTCCTGATCTAAAGTATCATTTAGCTGTAGGTCAAAACCGACACAATCATATATTTTATCTTCGATGCAATGCACCTTGGAGGTGCCACAAACATCGTTTTACATGACATGATATCAAAATTGACACACAACACCCGTGACACAGGCAACATCGCATAATGGGGTCTTAGGCTCCAGCCCTTTACCACGAAGGAAGGAAGATGGATATAAGATGACTCATCTGGGTCAGAGGACATCAGAGCTTACGTGACATTAAAACTGTAGCTGCCGGTGTTATTGTGAGGTTTTTCCGGTGACGCCATCCCAACGCATGGCAGTCTAACGAGTAGCTCTCTCATAATTAATTCGTTCACCCCGTGAAGTGTCATAATTATTACCAATTTTTAATAGATAGTAGAGATATAAGCGGGGTGAACATGGGGAAAAGAGATAAACAGAAAGGATCGGCAGAAGAACGCGTAAACGAAGGGTTTTCGGCAGCGGCATCGCCACCTCGACATGAAGCCAATGCTAGGGCTAACATGGACAAAGGCTTGGCTTTGACCACGATACTGGAAAAACTACGGGACTTTTGAAGAGAGTTCCAAGAATTTAAATCAGACTTGGTCAGAGCCAATAATAGGATAACCGAAGCAGAAACCCGTATCGCGAAGATGGAAGACCGGGTCCAAAACGTGGAACAGGTGATGCTAAAGATGCTAAAAATTATCGGCGAGCAAGAAAGTAAAATCGCGGATCAGGAAAGCCGGGCCCGGCGAAAGAATCTGAGGCTGTATAATGTCCCCAAAGGAGCGGAGGGGTCTTCGATGCCAGTTTTTGTGGAAGAAGTATTGACGGAATGCCTCAACCTCCCCCAGGGCACAGAGCTTGGTATCGAGAGATCACACCGGGCTCTGGGAGCAGTGAGGAACTGAGAGGGAACCCCACGTTCCCTCTGGAGATATACTGTTCTGTCGAAGTGGGTGAGATAACAAATACTTTCCCCTTACTAGATGATTAAGATTGCTATAGAGACTGTGGAGAAATGCATCTTAAAGGAGTTATCAGGGGCCCTTGCCCTTCAGCCAGGGGAGGTTTCCCCCTGTTTATGGGATTTATGTGCCAGGGTCTGATAGGACTGACCCCAACCTTGGAATCACGTTGTTTTTTTTTTGTTTGTTTGTTTTTTTTTTAATTTGTCCGGTTTTGGATAGTTGTTGTTGTTCATTGCTCGGGTTTTTAGAGGGAGTTTACCAGTCGATAAGTTACTTAAGTTTGGATACTTTATTTCGGAAAAATGAGCGCTAAGGGAATTAAGGTTATATCCTTTAATGTGAATGGGCTCACGAATCCGAAGTAGAATTTTGACTAAAATTAAGAAAGATCAAGCACAGATAGTATACTTACAAGAAACACACTTGAATAATAATGAACATGAAAAATTTAGGAGGATGGGCTTTACAAACATGTTCTCCTCAGCGTATGAATCCGGTGTTCCAGATCTACTGGCGTTTAGATCTACTGGCGTTTAGATCAACTGGCGTTGGTTGAACAGATGTGTGGCAGACTTGCGTTTCAGGAGCTGCTACCGACAAACCTGCAAAAAAACGGCAAATGTGTCACCTGTGACACTTGTGAGGTTATCTCAAACACACTCTGTCAGTTTTGATGCTGTTGAACAACAAAATGTTTAAAAATGTGGTGACCTGGTGATATCCTCATGCGCGACGCGATCGCGAAAACAGCAAACAAGTAACACCACGCCGATGTTGTTCACAGGACAGCAAGAGTAAACGATCGGGAGACTATTGTTGTCGTTATCGTTCCCCTCGCACGGTTTATTTCTCCGGTTTCAGCGTTTTTGCTTCACAACTAAAGCGAGCAGTTTACTTTGTGTACACTAACATGGACTCGAGTCAACCAGCGCCACCTCTGGCCAAGTGCCACAGCCTACAGCCAGATCAACCTGTGACACATCTGCACCACGTTTGAATTCGTTTCATGCACAACACATTTGTACCTTTCAATTGTGTCTGTTTGTGCGTCATGCAAATAAACCTTTGAAATGAATGAAATGATATCATATATTCCTTATTAGCCTACATTTGTAAAAAATTCCAAATTATATACACAAAGTCATAGAAATCACCACTCCAATTGGTCATCATGATTTTGATATTCTCTTTTTCCATAACAATAAAATACGCCTTTGAAAAATATGACACATCAATATTTCATTAGTGTTGTCACATCACATCCTGTAAGCATCGTTTGTCTGTGTCTTTTCCCTGGAAATTAATATTTCCAGCCAATATAGGCAA